AATGGAATCAGAAGACTCTCAGGTTGACTCAGACCCTGGATCCAAATATAACGACATCGACAATATCCTTATCGGTCTTTATGGATCACAATATAGATACAAGGTATATCGACGTCCCTATACGTTTCCTTTTAGATCATTGTTAAGGCTAATTGGGTGTGATCAGTGTTTACCATTATCAAAATCTCATTTTGACAACAAAACAAAAAATTGGATTTGGAAGGATCTACGGCAAATCATGACTCCTGTTGGCCGGGAGCAACTGGAACCGATGTTACAAAGCTACCGGAAGGTCGTGGGCGACGAGCTTTCAGAGAGAATGATGTATGTACTCAGGTAAAAGCTTAAATTGAGTTTAATGTACCATTATTTATCAGATAAACTCAACATTCTGAGTTTGTTTCATGTTTCAGTTTGTTTTATGTAATGAAACTTGTACAATGTTGGCTCTCTTTAAGGTTGTTACAGCCGTTTGTTATAAGATCACATTACATGATTACCTTAGATTATCATTTTGAAATTTTGCTGTGAAGAAGTTCAAAATTAATTTATGAAGATTGTCATACATCTTTCAATCTTATATACAAACGAAAATTCACATCTCTCGCTACGATTTTTACCTATGAAATTGTTCTTCTTCTTTAATTTAAAGGAAGTACAGTTAACAAAAACATAATGATTTTGCTTGCTCACTTCTTTCCATGCATTAAAACTCTGAAAACTATACTTTCAAAATCTAAATTTGAATGGGTCATTTTAAATGTTTAATTGAATAACAATAGATTTTAAATTCTTTTACTGAGGAGATTATAAATACAAAAATCAAATAACACTAGATTTTAAACTCTTTTAATAAAAAGATTGTAAATACTAAAATCAATAACACTAGATTTTTAATAGAGTAATTAAAAAATTAACTATTGTATAACAATGGATTTAAAAAAAAATAATAAACTATATTAAAATCATCATTGAACAAACCCTCTAAATTAACACCCAAAAAAAAAAAGATTATTTAAAATACTATACTTTTAAAATTGCAAAACTATATTTGTGTTTATTAATAAAATCAAGATGATGGAAATCTCTATTTTTTTTTTATATCATTGGGTCGACAAGGCCTAACCATAACCCAATGCCTACTATATGCGGGCTATTATGGGATCCAGATTATGCATGCATTCTTATCGTTGGAGAAATATTCTGCTATGCAAGAAATTAATTGGGTCAAAGAAAACCAAGCTCATCGCCGTTCTCTTCATTATTAAGGTTTATAAATATATATAATTAATATAAAACTTTGCTATAACAATCGAAGCTATATGGATTTTTTATGTGGGAGATATCCAAAAACTATTTATCAAATATAAACTTTGTTCACACCACACAAAATTTATATAAACATCATTTCATGAAACTTTTTGCATCACCTCTTGGTATCATATTTATATTATCCAACCAACTAATAACTATCACCAATTCAGTAATATTATATTATTATAAAGATAAATAGTGAAATAGTGAAACAAAAAAATTGGTCGAATTGAAATAGTGTTAAGAAAAAGGGAATAATGTAAGAAATGGATGGAGAGGAGAGAAGCGCACGTGGGGAGGGGGCCTGACAGTGAAAGAGAAAGCCAAAGGCCCACACGAGTGGGAAGACTTCAGACTTTGGGAAGTGT